ATGGCTGCTCACATCACGTTATTTATTATTGTGCTGGTTCATACCAGAAAGTTCCCAAATAAGGAGTATACTTAGCAGCAGATAGTTATTTCTGTGCCTAGTCTACATCTTCCTACTCTAACATTTCACTTGAGAAATGAAACTGTTTTTGAAAACTGAAAGTGGAGCAACACAACAGCTACCTGGGAAGGGAATATTATAAGGCATTTACTGCTGTCAGCACCAAATCCATTTACACGGTTGTAGCACGTGAAAAGCTTTTCTGCATTACTAATGAATAGAAAATTCTGGAAAATGGGAAATTAGTTAGATGAGATGCCACCCAAGCCCTTGCAGAGCAGGTAAAAGGCACCCAGGAATGTATAAAGAGAAGGATAGCTGAGTCAGCAGGGTGAAGCAAAAGGGCTCTTGGAGGAACAGTCTTGCAAAAGCAGACTTTGACTTTCCAAGAAAGTCTTCAGGGAGCAGCTTTCTGGGCCCTGAACGCCACAGCAACAGTAGGGCACTGATTTCACACCAAGCTTCACCTTCTGGCCTTTCTCCATATGGCCCTTTTCACAGCTGTACAGCAGCAGCAGACCTAACATGAACCAGGAAGGTAGAGAGCTTCAGACTTCCCTAATTAACTCCTTAGTCATCACAAACCCTTGATCTTTCTAGTATGGTCTGTCTTCCTTGTACTAATCCATGAAATTAACAGAAGTTCTGACAAAAATATAATTACTTGACCTGTAGTTTCATGATATGAAGCATTTTGTGACAATACTGCTCAAAGGTGTTCTTGTTCTTCTTGCCTCCCTGCTGCTTGCTCTAAGGGAGGAAACCACTCTGGCAGCCTAACTGCAAGGTACCCAAGGAAATGCCCTGTATTAAAAAAAAAGGAACCCTGTACAAAAAGAATAACACACCTAAAAGAGAGTGTGGTGCATGGTAGGGACAAGGAATGAACAGCCAGTTTCAGGGGAGAGACCAAGGAGCAGAGTTGCCCTAAGTTTGGATTGTTACCAAGCTCTTCATACTCTCGTGTGTGAATGTTTGGAGGGGGAAGTGCTCTTAGTTTATAAACAACTCCTTGGGGAGGAACTTGTTGTATTTTGTGTGCCAGAAGATTGCCAGCATGGCTAGCAATGAAACAGCTAAGGATTGTGAAAATGTTTCCATTAGGGAAGATGTGATCATGTCTGGGTTCACCAAGTGATGTAGGGCCTATGCCTAAAAACAGCTTTATGCCTAAAGAGTTATCAGTGCTCCTTCCTTTTTCTCCTGCACTTTCAAGTCTGTCATTTTTGCCTATGAGGTTTAGACCCAAACATATTGTTCTTTCGAATATTATTAAAGCACTGACATTTTGGTTTGTGAAATACTTTATCTAATGAAAAAGGAAATAAGGACTATTATTACTACAAAGACTAGCAGAAGGCAAGAGCTGGTATTATGAAGCTTTGAGAACAGTTGTTTTCAGGAAAATTATTTCCCAAATGGAGACTGAGGGCACTGATTATGGTGAACAGAATTGTGACAAGTTAATGCCATTACTTTGACTGGGCCCAAATGCCTAAGTTTATTGGTATGCTCAACAACTAGTATGTTTACTTGTAATACTGCAGCTCTGCTGTAGAAGGATCTGAAAAACAAAGAACAGACAGTTGGTCATTAGTCACTCACCCCTCAGTTTAAACAGATCACATGCTACTGACATCCTGAAAATATCTTAGCACTTGGGGCAGCACTGCCATTAAATGCTCTTGCAGCATTACCATGGATATAGGAAATCTGATTTCCATGTGTGTTTGGTTTTCAGACTTACAGGTTCCATGTCAGGGAAGGAAAAAACAAGTCAAACCTTCATTCCCTTGAGCTTTTATGATGCATTATTTTACTGTATGCAATCCTTTTTTATTTACAAGGTAATATATACCAATACAGGATTTTTTGTGCTTTCTGGCACTTTGAAAGTAAGAGACTTTATATCAGAGATGAATAGCAATCTTGCATGAGGGGTGTGTGTATATATTTGTATGTGGCTATGTGACTGTGGATGGTGTTAGATAATAATAGAAACTTGACATCCTCTACTCCAAAGCAGTAGTGGGAGAAGCAATTACAGACACTTTGAATACCAGTTGGACAAGCTTCCCACACCATAAAACAAAATATTTCAATTTGAACCTGAATGAGACAGTTGCCATTTTTATTTTGTCTTCAAATAAGATGACCTGTACTGTGAAACGGAGCAAGAGTTCTGAGATGCTGGAATTCTATTCTGAGGGGATGTTACAGACCCTCACTCTGAGGAATACAACATTAATGTTAAGGGACAAGTGGTACCCTGTTCCAGAGCTCTGCCTACGTATGTTCTGTACTAATGAAAAGATAACAGAAAGGACAACTTAGTAGTCATGAATTAGATAGAATGGACATCTGGGGAGATAAGCGAGCTTAATCAGGGGTTTTCGCAAGCTCCCAGTACGTAGTCAGGAAAAGTTCATGACAAAGAGGACCCTCTTGAGGCTGAAGGACCGGAAAGACCACCAGAGGACTCCCTAAAAGGACAGCTCCATCTCAAGCTCCACCTAGACTCCTCCTATTATGAATATGATAATTAGATTGTGAAATTAAATGAATATGCATGTATAGATGTTGTAATCACTCATAAAAACTGTATAAATTACCTGACTTTTCACTGAGAACTTCGGAGCTAGTTTGTCCAGCGTGAGCTGGCTAGACTCCCCAACGTTGCTCAAAATAAATACCTTTACTGCTTAAAGACTCAAAACTGTCTCTGAGCAGTCTCATTTCTGCCAATTTTGGCATCAACTGTGCACCAGAAAAAAATTGTATTGCTTTTCATACAAAGGGTTAGACTGAATGATCAAGCATCTTTAATCTTTAAAATCTTTGAAAGGAAAGATAGAGGTAAGCAGCTCACTGTCATATGAGCTGTTCTGTAAACAATGGCAGAAGCCCATACATAAGGCTTTGCATCTTCTACACTACCTCATAAAATCCTGCATTTATAATGGTATCAGTGTAACTAAACTAGCACTGAAAGCCTTTTCATAGCATGTATAAACAAAAGCAAATGAGTGACACAAATCACAGTTCCTGCAACATCTTTTGAGCTGTTCTTAGAGCAAGGAAGAAAGATATACAATAAAGGGTGAAAAATCATGTAGTATTTCTCTTTCTCTAAGTTTTACTTTTCATGAATTAATTTATATTATGGATGAGTTCTAGTCGGTGGATATATTTTGGTGTTATGTGTGTGAACACATGTCTTGCCTCCATTCAGATTATGAAAAAAGCTCAACAAACATGCCTGTTGACTGGGTATCTATATTACATTTTGTAATTCCAGAATTCTGGTCCCCATAAAGGTCAAATGGAGGTTTGAGGAAAAGAGAAAGGTAGAAGTATAGAGGTCCATATGTCACACAAGGACTACCAGGGACAGGAGGTATGGGCAGGCTGTTTGGGCTCTCCCATTAATCTCCATACATTGCTGACTGCTACAGTTTTGTTTTTTTTTAATCAAGGAATATATCTAAATTCAATCAGATTCAAATTATTGTTAATGAGGGGTCCAAAACTGTCTTTAAGTCTTTACACAATACTTGCTGTAAGGCACCAGAGTTGACTGCAAGCCACAGTGAAAAATCTTTTGTGTGATTTCTTAATTTAATTTGCTCAGTCCAAAACATCAAAAGGAGAGTTAATTATGTGGATAAAAACCCCATCATGATTTATCAGTATTTAAATACATTCACATTTTACTTTTAAATCACTATTTGTGTTTTTCCCTAAGTAGATGTTTAGCTAGCCATTAGGAAGACCAATTCCTGATGAAGTCCCTGGTACAACTGTCACAAAGCACTTGGAACCTGGCCAAGTATTAACAGCAAATTCCAAAAGTGAACAGAGGACAAACTGGCAACATTAAGGAAAAAAATTGCAAACCTTTTAAATAATTACATTGTCCTGTATTGTATTCTTCTGTGTGTAACACTGAACCTCAGCGAAGGCAGTTGACATTGCAAAGATTTTTGCAAATTCTACTGAGAAGGGAAGGATAACCTAGGCGGAACGGGTTGTCCTCTACATCTGTAATTTTTGCCAGAGATGAAGCAATCTGCCCTGAGACTTTGTTCCTCAGTATCACCTCAGGATTTTTCTCAGCTTGCTCTCAGTGCAGGAGTTGAGTTAGCAGCACTCCCCTGAAACACTGGGAAAAAGGGGAGGGACCACAACAGTGAAGTACAGAAGGGTCTCCCTTGCACCTGTAAGATTTAGTAATGGTATATTTTCTTGAAATGGCCCCTAACCAAATTCAGACTCAGTTGATGCTCAGAAAGCTGAGGGCAGATGGGACCATCCTTCAAAAATTGTAGGCCAGGTGTGGTGGGTTGACCTTGGCTGGCCATCAGGTGCCCACCAAGCCAATCTATCATTCCCCCTCTTCAACAGGACGGGGAGAAAATAAGATTAAAAACTCATAGGTTGAGATCAGGACAGGGAGAGAAGTCAACAATTATCATAAGAGGCAAAACAGACTCAACTTGGGGAAATTATTTTCATTTAATGTAGATCATTCACCGATTACCATCATGGGCAAAACAGACTTGGCTCGGGGAAATTAGTTTAATTTATCACCAATCAAATCAGAGTAGGACAATGAGAAATAAAATCAAATCCAAAAATACCTTCCCCCCACCCCTCCCTTCTTCCCAGGCTTAACTTCACTCCTGAATTCTTCCACCTCCTCCCCCCAAGTGGCACAGGAACATGGCAAATGAGAGTTATGGTCAGTTCCTAATGCATTGTCTCTGTTGCTCCTTCCTCCTCATTCTCTTCCCCTGCTCCAGCATGGGGTCCCACTCCCAGGAGACATCCCTTCATTAACTTCTCCAGCATAGGTCCTTCTCACAGGATACAGTTCTTCAAGAACCGCTCAGACATGGGCTTTTTCCATGAGGTGCAGTCCTTCAAGAAATGGACTGCTCCTGATATCTGATTTTTGAGATGTAACAAGAACTAATAGTTTTTTCAGCAGAATGTACCATAGAAACTACATATAGCTGAACCAAGTGATTTAAAGGGACTAATCAAGCAAAGTAAAGAAACAATGAAGAAGATGACTGAGGCAACCAGTCAAGCAACACCATGTTACTCTATAACCAGGTGAATTGTCTTAAAGAAGTTCATAAGGCAGTCATTCAGAACTTTGGGGGCTCCAGACATAGACGACCACCAGAAACCCTTGGTGAAGTCCCTCAGAGACCTTACAAGGATATGTATGTATGCTAGTAAGTGTTGGGAAATGTCACGGATATGTAACAAGAATGCGGGGAATGAAAAATGAATAATCATGTAATGTTGACATATAAGCTGTAATGAAGATACTTCTGTGTGCACTTTGGAAAACCGATTCCCAGGGCACTCGACATGCTGGACTCATTCCAGCACGTCGTAATAAAGAATCCCTGCCTGCTAAAATTCACAAATTGAGTCTTAGAGGTTTCTTTAAGAGTCAATTTTAGGCAACACTCCAGTGTGGGTCCTCCATGGGGTCACAAGTCCTGCCAGAAAACATGCTCCTGTGTAGGCTGCTCTCTACAGGCCACAGTTCTTGCCAGGAGCATGCTCCAGTATGGACTCTCCACGAGGTCACAGCTTCCTTCAGGGCACATCCACCTGCACATCTTACACAGACGGCAGGGTGGATATCTCTTACACTGTGGACCTCCATGGGCTGCAGGGGGACAACTTGCATCACCATGGTTTTCACCACAGTTGCAAGGGAATGTCTTCACTCGCCTTGTTGTCCGTATAGTTGTTTCTGTCATATATTGTTACTGCTCTTTCCCAGCTGCTATTTCTTAAAAATGTTATCACTACCAATGTCACTGACTAACACAGCTCTGGCCAGCAGCATGTCTGTCTTGGAGCCAGCTGGAACTGGATCTGTCTGACGTGGGGCAGCATCTTGTGTCTTCTCACAGAAGCCACCCCTGCAATACCCCCACTACCAAAACTTTACCATGTAAACCCAATACACCAGGATAATACACAAAGACTGCAAAAGGAGGGGCCTTTTCCATTATGAGTAGATAGACAAACGTAATTATAAGACCCAGAAAGCATTAGAATAATATGATTGTCATTTTCCTTCCTCCATTTCAGTAAAACAAAAAATTGGTCAAGAGTCAATAAGGACACAAGAAACAAAACAGTACCCTCTAACTAGGACATTGTAGCTGTTATTGTTGGAACGGCCGAAGCGACACAGATATCAGTCGTAGTCCAGGTGTAAGGTGATCAAGAAGCTGTTTATTGCTCTCAAGTGTTTCTTTTATACTCTTTGCATACTATCGTGCTACAACATAATTGGTTAAAAGTCTCAAGCATAAGACACTACATACTTTCATTGGTGACACAAAAGACACTGTACATACTTTCATTGGTGACACTGAAGATGCTGTGCTTACTGTCATTGGTGACACTGAAGATGCTGTGCTTACTGTCATTGGTGATACTATACACATTTTGATTGGTGACCTTTGGTCTCGGCTGCATTACGCTTGTTCCGTCCGACATTGCAGTAAATATTTCCTTAGAGTTGTTTACATTCCTCTGCAGTCTCCGTATCATCCTCTTTTCAGGGATATACTTTGATCTGGTCAACATCGATTGCTTCGTCAATAAGTGCCAGGCTGCTGACAGACCCACTGTCAACCCCGACAATTCCCCCTTTTTGTATTTGTGCTACAAAGATGGCCTTGACAGTCTGCTGCAGGGCCCTTTGCAACGGGCTGATCAAACAAGGTAGCATTAATAGCACAACTACAATAATTACCAAAATCAGCAATCCTGTTTTTATGATGCATAACAGCCAACCAGACAAACCCCATTTACCAAGCAACTTATTTAACCAATCCCATCCATCATCAACTTGTAATTTGCGGACCCCTTCTTTCAAAAGCTGAATGCTTTTGTGTATGGATTCACTATGGTCCAACAAATTCATGCAACACATTCCATCAAATTCATTGCAGCCGTGACCTTGTGCTAACAATAAAAAATCAATCGCAGCTCTATTCTGCAGTGTGGCATGCCTAACACTATCTACTTCAGTTAATAGATCACTCAAGGCAATAGAAGTAGCATTGGTTTGCTTACTCAACCAACATCCCAAGTTTGTCAACTTTTTTAATGCTGCTGCTGCTGCAACCCCAGGTGCAAGTGCTGATGCTGCTATGATTTCCTTGGGTCCCCAAAAGGTTACCCGATCATCACATTGTTTTGAAAACTGATGAATACTGTGCTTCTCTCGCCCTTTATTATGAATCATGGTAAGATTAGGAGTGAGCAGAGTAAGCTTCCCCAAGCTGCATGGTTGTGGTAGTTTGGTCTAGACCTTCCTTGGTGACCAGTTTGTAACCAAGGAAGTGCCCATATTACCTGGTATTCCCTATGATTTTTACGTAAGCCAGGGTATAAGAAGAAAGGAGGAGAGGCCTTCGCTCTTTCCTTCCGGCAGCTTTGGAGGTGCGGGTTTCCCTGCTGTTGAGTCTGTCGGCTTGGAGAGTGAGGCCTGGTAAGGCCTTGTCGACCTTGGGAGGCGGAGGTTGCCGGCAGTCGCTCCAGCGTGACTCTCCGTTGTCCCAAGGAGAGTAGTAAGATATTCTTTGCTAATTCTTTTAGTTGCTAGATCTTGGGCTATTGATCGGGATATATATATTTTATTTTGGTTTTGTTCCTTTTTTTCCCTTCCCCCTTCCTTTTCCCTTTTCCTTGTGAAATTGTATATATATTTCAATTGTATATAACTGTAATATAAGTGTAAATATATTTATATATATTGCTTTAACTGTCTCTCGTTTCGGTTCTCTTGGGTTTTTTTTCCCTCTTCTCCCTTAGTTTGGGGGGGGGGGACTTCTTGTGGTAAGGTTTGGAGACTTGGCAGGGAGCCAGCTTCAAACCATATCGGTGGTCCACCATTCAGTCTGGATGGAATTCCACCCCATGCTCTATCTCCACAAATAAGAAAAACTCCACTAGGTAAGGCAACAGGTACACTAAAAGATCGTGAAATATGTCTAGAAGTATAATTACACCAAGCAGTAGCATTTCTATATACAGGCAATGTTGCATTCACATTCTGTCCTCTCCTCTTTGAGTTATATGTATAATTAAACATTATGCAAGCATCCATGACCACTGAGCCTAGCAATTCCAGTTCTTGAGGTTCTTGTGTTACTTGAGGTAGGTATGCATAAATGCGGTCCCAGTTGTCAACGTTGATCTTTGGTGCAGAGTTGTTGCAGACTTTCGGGGACCCTGGACAAGGCCACTTATCCAGAGGTAGTCCTACCAAGCAGGTAGAAAAAGGATTTTCTGGGTTGGCTACAGAAAGGCACAAAGTTTCCTGATGGGTCATTTCAGCTAGGGTCACCCACACATTCTGCTTGGGTTGCGGGACCATCCATCTGTTGACGGGAAGGATCATCAAGCACAGGGATGAACACACTGGGCAGGTACCCAACGAGGGCCATCACCTGTGGAGACACAAGCATATCCCTTTCCCCAAGTTATAAGTTCATGAGGTCCAGACCATTGGCCTGAAACCAAATCCCTGACCTGCACTGGAGCATTGCATGATAATGGCTTTGTGGAAGAAAGAGAAGAAAAATGCATAAAAGAAGGTGAGTAGGAGGAGTCACCAGGAAAAGTTAAAAAGTTCAGTACATATATAGCTTTATCTAACCGTGCCTGAGGGGGTTCCCGACTCATTCCCCCTTTTTGTTTTTGAAGCTGTCTTTTCAAGGTACTGTGCATACGCTCTACAATAGCCTGTCCCGTTGGAGAACGTGGGGTACCGGTAACATGAGTTACACCCCATGTCGCAAAAAAGGTCTCTACCTTTTGCAAAACATATGCTGGGCCGTTATCGGTCTTGACTTCATGAGGAACGCCAAGGGTAGCAAAAGCACGCTGAAAATGACGGATGACATCTCTTCCCTTTTCTCCAGAATGGGTTGTGGCAACTACAGCATGTGAAAAGGTATCTACTGACACATGCACATATTTTAAACGACTGAAGTCATCAATATGAGTGACATCAGTTTGCCAGATTTGTAAAGCTTTAATGCCCCTCGGATTGGTTCCAAAATATATTGGAATGTAAGTTCCTTGACAGTCAGGACAAGCAGCGACAATAGAACGCGCTGCAGCTTGAGTTATACCGAACTGTCATCGCAGTGCAGTGCTACCTTGATGAAAAAACTGATGTGATAAGAGAGTCTCTTGTTGTATATTGGGCATAGGGCCCAGGGCTATAGCAGATACAAGGGCATCTGCCTTGGCGTTACCTTCAGTGAAAAAACCTGGCATGGTAGTATGGCTGCGGACATGTAGAACGAAATACAGTGTAGTTCTCTGTTGTATGGTTGTCCATAACTGTAAAAGAACTGTAAACAGCTTTCAGTGGTCAATTGAGGCCAAAACAGTCTGATCTAAATGAGAAAGTAAATTAGCAACATAAGCAGAATCAGTAACAATATTTACAGGTTGTGAAAATAATTGAAAGGCCACAGTTACAGCTCGCAATTTGACTACTTGAGGCAAGCCTTCTTGCGTGACTACCTTATCATGCCAGCCGTGTTCATCATGCCAGACTATGGCGGCTTTACCTGTCTTTCCAGAGCCATCTGTGAAAACGGTGAGTCCGTCAACCGGTTCCGATTGACTTAATGTCTTCTGTCCTACAGGCACTTCACGAAAAAATTTAATCAGAGGATGAGAAGGCAAATGATAAGAAACTTGTCCTTGGAAGTCAGACATGACTGCCTGCAGTTCATACTTATGTGCCATGCACCATTCAAAATACATAGACTGAACAGGTACAACAATTTGACTTGGATCTCTTCCCAGTAATTCTACGCATCTTTTTCTGACTTTCATAATTATTTCTGCAAGAAGTTCAAACAGACCAGGAGCAGTTTTGTGAGGTTTAAAAGGTAAAAACAACTTCTCCAAAATATGCAGGGGGTCAGTCCACTCAGTATT